GATTAGGGTTTTGGGCACTGCTCACATGGGCAGGTGTCGCATAGGCTTGCATGAACTTGAACGGGCTAATGTATCAGCACAATATAGCAGGTGTACTTCTCTTGGGCCATGCCGGCAATTTTCACAGCAGTGTACCGCTGCGTGGCAGTGTTTAGGGCAGTGCTGCTCGCACGAAACTCAAAGCTCTCAGCATAGCAAATTCCCTCAGCCAAGCAGGGCAAAGCCGGGAATCAGCTCGGCGCACTCCGCTTCTCACGTGGCCACTTCTTGCAGATGATGGATGCTACTGGGTGACCACTTTAGTCATTCTTGAGGCATGCTCTTTGATTGGCTGCTGCAGAGTTTAATTGCTGGTCCGACAACCACTCAATCCATGATTGTGTTTAGATTGCTTAGATAGTCTTTGATCGGCCTTATCTAATTCTCTTTGGGTTTTGTTGGGGCTTGCAGTTGCTAAATGGGTTCTCCGCATCGCACATCTGACTTTTCCTAATGTTCGGATGTCTCAGAGTCGGCTAGTTCGATTTCCCGGAGTTTTAAGCACATGTTTGGATGGATCTAGGATTCAAGGAACAGAAGTTCACAGTCCACTGAGGCTTCTCTTCACTTGACCTCCCTTGTGCCTGAATGTAGTAGACAGCAAGTGTTCTTCGGATCCAACTCGAAACCAAATCCCACCCACAACCCTGACGTCTCCACCATGGAGCCTACTTCAACATGAGTGTGAGCATTGTAATAATAGCCACCCGCCCGAAGGTTCAGACGGACCAAGCTCAAAACAAAGGTCTGGGAAAGGAGGGGTCGCAATGAAAAGCTCTCGCCAACAAGGTCTTTCTGATTGGTTGTCGTACTGGTAGTAGTACTTTAGTCGTAGTAGGAGGTAAGAGTAGGAGAAGGATGTGCAGGAGGGGATTTGCATTACATCTGAATTGGGAGCCCTGATTGTTACGGACTTTTACGCCTCAGAGTTCGACTGCTGCCGCCTCTGTTTTGGATCATCACGCGTCGCAACCTGGAGTTTACATGGGTTGTGTGTATAGTGTACAGTGTACATCTTATAGCTCGCAATGAAACATCCAATCTTTTGGGGAACGCTGTTATTTTCACCCCCATCTTAAAACCGACGCTTACACTATGTATATTTTCGGCAAGCTGAGGCCAACATGGGTGCCTTTTTAGGCGAGGCAACCAAGGCCACGCCTACTTGAGCTCTTGGAGCGCCCTTTGCTTTTGGGATATAGAGTGGCCCTGTTTGTGAATGTAATGCCATTGTGCGTGAGCGTGCCATTATGTCATAGTCGGCAATCCAGAGCACAGGCAGGTCTCGGAGCTTGAGGAAACCGTATTTGGTACAACCCCGCACATGGTGGCAGCTCCCAAGTGCAACAGATTCTAGCACGTTTCCGGAGGTGGATAGGCAGCCCGATCCTTCTGATGCCGTACCTGTCTCCCCGCAAGCAGACAAAATACATTCGGACTTCAAGTGTGTAATCCCTACCTACTGTAGATTCCCATGTCTTCGATTGCCTTTGCAGCAGTAATACGCAACGAAACCATGTTCTTGGCAGGTGCCGTTTATTCTGCGTCGCTTTCAGCCTCATTGGACCGACAGGAACTGCGGCATGGCTCTCTGGAACAGTTGATGCTAAACAAGTGCCTACCGATTAGTCCCTTGAGAGATCTGATCGCGAGATTCGGCAAACGTTCGTACACGGAACAACATTTTGCCGCTTGCAGCTGCTGGAGGACAACTGTGCGAGCTCGGATCATTGGCTTCCGAGACCCTTGGACAGATAAGCTTGGAACGGGTCACTGATTGCCCGAGCGTACTTGGACCCTCATCAGGGCCGGCGTGCCTTTTGGGGCTCTGGGGCTCTGGAAATCCCTGTCTAAAAGACAGTGTCCAAAAACATGGAAAGATCCACATGCAGACGGGCCGCTTAGAATAGCTCGGTGGGTCACTTGAAGAGCCGTGGCGATTTATCAGATTACAGGTTCATGCTGTTGGATAATTTCTTGAACCAAACTGAGCAGCTTGCTGTTGGATAGCGAAGACGATCACGCGCCGACAAATCAATGCAAGACAAATTACGGTCTCGCAATTCTCATTAGCCACTCGTCCCAGGCCGGGTCTCCGTAGCAAGCTCTCGCTGTTTTTCAAGCTTCCTTGCAGTGGGCTACCGTTTCAGGGCTTCTCCCATATTCTGCCTTTGCGATCAGGCAATCCCACCTGTCCTACCGCTCAACTACCGTACTGTGCAGAACCACGAAATGAGAGCCTGCAGTCTCGTGCATTTATATCAGGCTTCGCAAGGCAAATGCACAGCATTCAGTCAGTCAGGTTTTCGCGTTGAGCCACTCCATGTCAGGAACAGCATCTGAATGCCTGCCGAAGACCTTTCTCAGATTTTTCAGGGTTCTCATATTATGTGCGGAGCATGTTCCTAAAGGTTTCACATGTCTGTAAATGCATATGTGCGGTCGTTTGTTGTGCGCTGTGGAGTGGCGCTACACAACAGCCGGTTGGCATCTGCGTCACCACCGCGATAACTTTGGGTGTGGTGATGATGAAGGTTCAGGATTCTGCCGAAAGACACATCTTTCTGCAGCCCCAAGCATGACCGTGCAAGCCTCTTCTCCGCACCGCTTGGGTCAAGCTGAACAAGGGGCTCCTGAAATCCTCATCCTGCCCAGTCGCCCACCCCAACCATCAGATTTCAATCCAAGTCCCAAGCCCAGGAGTTCATCTTCACAGAGAGCCACGGGGCCGTCGGCAGTGTTATGGCTTCTGCAGAGTGGTCCTTCGGTACCATCTGCCAGTGAGGGTCCCAGCATGGAGCCATCTGCACACGGCCTTAGAAAGAAGGATGTTTTTCCACCGCTGTTGTGTGCAGGAATGGGGTGGAAAGGGAGGCTAACCAGGTGTCTGAATCTGATGAAGCATGAGTATTATCGAGCAGGTGGATAGAATCAAGACACATAAGCTTCCAATGAGTCATCTCAGGTCACCCAGAACAATACGATGCAACACTTTGCGTAAGCGGGACCTGTAGCTAAGTGAACACGAAGTGTGTTTTGCATAGTGCACCCAAGGATTGTCAGGACTGTTTAGATTCAAGCAGATACACACAGGCAATTGAAATCTCGTTGCCTTCTTTGGTGTGGGGGAAGGGGCAAGGAAGAGGTTCTAGCAGTGGCATCGCTCTTGGTGGGCCTCAATGAACCCAACGACGTACGGATAACGCCAAAAGCGTTTCCTAGTCATGCACTGATGACTCATGACTCTCTATTCTTGGTTGTTGTGTTGTTCTGCACATGGAGACAAGCTGTTTGAACGCCAGGTGTGTACTTCGTAGTGCGTCCAAGCCACTTCAAGCATGAGGCGCTTCCTCGCTGGTTTGGGAGCACGCAGCTTGGCCGCAAGAAGATAGAAGCGGGAGTCCCCCTTTGGTGGCTGTAGAGCTATGCGTTCGTTTTCACCGTGCCCTGCATTCCGCTGGGATTCACTTTTCTTCTGCACTGTTTGCATCTGGAATTTGCTAGTCTGTCCGGTAGTAGTCACTTTTCATGATTCCTGCTCTTCTCCTGGAACTCTCAGGCCCAGTGCTGCGGGAGAGTGAAGTAAGAGTCATGGATTGACAGCTAGGTAAGTCCCGCAACAGCTTTCCGAAGCAATGCCAATCGTGAAGTCCCCCACTCCCAGCGACTTTCGTCTCCCTGTCAGCAGTTTGCAGGGATGCACTATGGCCACCCGGACTTCCTTGACGGCTTCTGGGCCTCCAACCGTGGCTCACTGTCAAAGGCAAGCCCCGCCATCAACCTCTCGGAGGCCACGCAAAGGGAAGCGAGAGTAGGGGTTCCAGAAGGTTCCTGTTCAAGGCTAGATAGAATTTTGATTCCTCAAAGAATCATTCGGGTTTCTCTTCATAGCATGTGAGTCTGTGCTGTCAACCATCGATGGGCGCTGCTGGAAAATTCAAGAGGCACTCATTGCCTGATATGGCTTCTGCCATGAGCGTCTTAAGCTTGAGCCACGAGGTCCCCGGCCTACTGTGAAGCCTCCTACCAGTGCCGAGCTGGTTCTTCACTTGCCCACCACGTGTAGTGCTCACGCCTTCCAACCTAGAGTGCGAGGTGTAGACTCTGATGCTCAATGTGTTGCTTGTGGGCTCTTGGTTAAGGCTAGCTGGCGCCGTCAGAGGATTGATGATGTGTTAGAGCTCCCCTGTACCAAAGGGCACCATTTTGCTGTGTTGGGAGTCCACAGTACGCATGAGCCCTATCTTGAAGCCAGTGCTGTACGCTGTAGGCGTTGCAGGCACAGGCAGACAGTGCATAGTTTTTCTATGTTTTTCCTACATGTCCAGATTTGCTAGGCATTGCACTGCTTTCCGACGTTAGTGGATTGCTTGTAGTTGGGCATTGCTCTGTCTCTCATGTTGAAAAAAAACTCGTCATAGCATGTGAGCTGTAAGAGACTTCAGATGACTTCAAATGTATTCTTGGGAGCACGTGCTATTTCTCTGGGCCTCTCAGGGTTTGAATACAGAAGCTTGATGGCTACAAGGCTTCCTGAGTTTTCGGCATGCTTGCATGCAGGATGCTGGCTGAGGGTTCCGTGTTTTTTTTTTTTGGGCGTGTTTGTGCAAGGAATTGGAAGCTGCGATGTGTTGAAGCCACGATTGCGCACATGAAGCTGGCTCGCATGT